TTGGCAGTGCTGAGATGCTGCCAACAAACTAGATTTTTATTTTTAATGTATATTTTAACGTTTAAGCTCTGTATCTGTCTAGCTGTGTAATACTGGGCAAGTCACTTAGCCTCTCTGAGCCTTATTTTCTTCCATCTATAAAAGAGTGATGCTAATAGTTCCAGCCATCTCTACTCCACAGATCCTCTGTTAAGAGGATCAATTGAAACAACATATGTGAAATACACTTGGTAGATTCCAAAGTGCTACAGAATGCTAATTATTATTAAGTGTGATTTTTATTACAGCTCTCTGGAACACATTTGTAATTGTTTACTGAAAGCCATGGGAGGGATGGGGGACTCCCTTCATGACAGAAAAATGCTTCAAAACAAGCTTTGCCAGAAATCAGCAAAGGGATGCTATCTAGAGCCTGGCTACTCCTCTGCAGGACCTCTGTGCTGGAGAGCGGGTGGTCTGGGAGCCCGCTGGAGACCCGACTGGAGAACAGCCCCTTCTTCTTCCTCCTGTCTGAAGCACACCCCCCACCAGCGAGGCCATTTACCTGCTAACAGCACTGGACAGAGCCGGTGGAAAAACAGAACAGCCAGGACTCTGCAGTCAGACAGCCCTGGCTCCAAACCCAGCCTGACACAAGTGCTTTCCGTGCAGAGTGTGAGCACATTCTTTAGACTCTCAAGAGTCTTTATTTATCAATAATAATAGTGCACAGTGCCTAAGATACTTGACTCCTAACCAGAAGACTGGCGGTTCAAACCCACCAGCCACTCCTCAGAAGGAAGGTTGGGCAATCTACTTCCGTAGTGATACTGCCTCGGAAACCCAAGGAGGGGTCGCTATGAGTCGGGTCTGACTCGACGGCACATAACACCACCACCACCACCACCACCACCACCACGTGTAGGAGCTCTGGTAGCGTAGTGACTAAGGTATTTGACCGCTAACCAGAAGGCTGGTGGTTCAAACCCACCAGCCACTCCTTGGAAGGAAGGTTGGGCATTCTACTTCCATAGTGATACTGCCTTACGCACTATGCTACCAGAGCTCCCTTCCAATGAGTAGTTCTTTAAAAAGCTTTAAAGAACTGCCAACTCGACAGCAGTGTGTTGGCTGGTTTCTGCTTACCGTGTGCCAGGCAATGCATTTTGTATTCGTCGAATCTAATCCTAATAAACAACCCATGAGATACCCAGTTTATAGATGGGGAAATAGAGGCCACAGAGGTTAAGGAACATGCCTGAGGTCACACAGGATGTGGTGGAGTAATCAAATCTCTCTGGCTCCCTTTTGAGCTCTGATGTTGTACGGTCACAAAAAGACAGTCTTTTGTTGTTTCCAAAGGTTATATAATGGGTAAGAGAATAAGCCCTTGAGTTAGCCTGCCTGGGTTCTAAGCCTGGCTCCACCATTTATTGAGACCTTGAAGAAGTTACTTGTCCTCTGTTTTTCCATCCATACAGTGGGGCTAATGACAGTATCTACATAGGCTGTTATCAGAAAAGTGAGATATTGTACCTAAAGCCCTTGGCATAGAGAAAGTGCCCAATAAAGGCCACTTTTTGTATTAGAGTCCTGTTTGATCCAATTTCCTTCTCCCCTAGCAACTGTGTAAGACATCTTTACCCATCGGTAGCAATGGTTTTCGAACTATGTTCCATTTAGCCGAGGGTTCCTTGGGGGCAGGGGAGACTAAGAGGCTTGGCTCTTACATACCCCCAGCTCCATCACAGAATAGCTCTGGGTTTTTCTTCCTGTTGGTAAAATGCTGCACATTCACTTGACCAGTCATTAGATACACGTCAAGTCAGGAGGACCTTTGGCTGATCTGGTTTAAAAAAAAAAACCCGGGACAAAAAGAAGGGCCCATGTTCTTGTGCAAACACTCAGAAAGGGTGAATGTTATGTGGTTGGTCATGGTCAGAGACAGTTTCAAGTGAACGAGAACAGCTCTGCTGACATTTGTTCTAACTTCTGGAATTCTGCAAAAGATGTTATTTAAAAAGAGGGTTTACCAGTCTATTTCTAGGAAACATACAGAATGGAGAAAATGTGCACAGACTGAAATGTATCCCTAAAATTGCCATGTGCTTCATCTCTCATGCTATAGTCTAACGATCCCTCTGAAGACAGACTCAGGCTGGGCAGCAGTGGGAGAGGAATCCTGACAGCACCTCTACGCTCTCTTCCTCGGGATCAGTGTGTGGACCAGTATCTCCCAGTGATCTGGTTCAGAGCACCAATATGTGGGTCCCAGATCAGAGCGGTGGGCTGGGCCCCATTATTAAAAGCTCCCGAACTGATTTCCATACAGGCAGTCAGTCAGAGGGTCACCCTTAAGAGACACACTACTCTAAAACGCAGGTGGGGGTGGAATGGGCACATCCTTTGAAGCATTTCACCGTTCTTAAAAAGCTGATGAACACTCTTCAAGGGAAATTTTACATGGGATTCCTCTATATAAAATATACGTGTTGAACTACCTCAGCAGAGGGGACTTTACGGAGCGCTATTTACAGTTAGGCTTTGCTAGGTCATTTTCCTGACAGCCCATAGCGCCTCCTTGTGGCCTTTCTGACTGAACAGAACTGTTTCCCATTGGGTGGAAGGCCTTCCATCAGCCGGAGACACCTCCTAGAACTCCCTGCCACGTCGCCCAACCCAGGCAGGCCTATTTCCTTATGCTACCTGACACCTTATGAGCTTAGTTCTATGCTCAGGCCTTGATCTTCCTGGAATAACAGCCCCTTCACATTAAACCCTACTGGTGGTGTAGCACCTAAGGCATTTGACTGCTAACCAGAAGACTGGCGGTTCAAACCCACTAGCCACTCCTCGGAAGGAAGACTGGACAATCCACTTCTGTAGAGATACTGCCTTGGAAACCCAAGGAGGGGTCACCATGAGTCAGATTCGACTCGATGGCAATGAGAATGGTTTTTCAGTTTGTATCCTTTCCTAATCCTCCATCTCACCCCAGAGGACCTCCTGCAACCCTCTCCCTTCCAGTTCCTACAGATGATGCTCTTGTTATGTTGCTAGTTGCCACGTGTCAGCTCTGACTCATGGTGACCACGTGTATGACAAAGTGAAACACTGCCCGCTCCTGCCATCTTCCTGATCCTTGGTCTGCTCAGTCCACTGTGTGACCACTGTGTATTCCGAGTGCCTTCTGACCCCAGCGCCCATCTCTCAGCTGTTGGATGGTACTCTGGGGTGACTCGCAGCATTCTCATTGGCCAGTTTCGGAGGGTACTCTGCGGTGACTCGCCGGGTTCTCATTGGCCGGTTTCGGACGGTGCTCTGTGGTGACTAGCAGGGTTCTCATTGGGTGGTTTTTGGACGTCGATCACCAGTCCTTTCTTCCCAGTATTAGTCTGGGAGCTCCTCTGAAGCCTGTTACCATGGAGGCATAGCTTCCAGCATCACAGTAATATGCAAGCCTCATCAATACGACAAAATGACCTTCCACATTACGAGACCTAGTCCTATTTGGTCTTTAGCTGTTTCTGGGACATAGATAAGTCTTTATAAATATACCAAAATGAGAAAGTAAGATCCATGAGGCCAGAAATCGCCCTTTTCCTCCTTTCAGAGCTGCCCCATAGTGTTTGCTACACTGTGATCTTTATGGGAGCAGATCACCAGGTATCTTCGCTCATGGAGGGCCTGGAGGGTCCAAACAGCAGACTGTTTGGTTAGCAGCCGAGCGCTTATCCACTGCACCACAAGGGCTCCTTTTCACAAAACACTAACTGATTTTTTGTCTGTAATTAAGAAATTAATTAAAAGTTTAGATATGTTTTCCATATTGATACGTTTTCCATCAATTACCTTTCCTTTGTGGGTTTTTGCTTTCCAACGTTGTTCAATACATATTGCTTTAATAATACGCTTGGTTTACCTCCTCTTCCTCCTCATACCTTGATAAAATAACCCTTCTTCTCCCCAGGTGCTGAGTTTGCACATTTTGTTTGATCTGATTCCCCATGCTGTCCTGAGTCAATGTGCCACCAAGTACACCGGACAAACATCTCAGTTCTGCTTCTGTGTCTTTTTTCTTTACACGGCTTTCTAACAAAAAACTGCATTGCTAATTTCTGTTGTTTAATCCAATCGGAGGTTCTATTTCTTAGGAATCTAGACTGTGTATGTTATTGCTAATCATGATCTGCTTTCTTTTCTCACCTATTTTATGCTTCTTGGTGCTTTGCATTGTGTGAAAAGACTGTTTTATCTTTCAGTGTAACTTGGAAAATAAACACATCCTATTTTAATTGTTAGTGCTAAATAAAACTAACTTCAAATCCCAGTCCCCTTTGGTCCTATCCTGTGTTGTAAAAAGCCTGTGTGTGTCCTTGTCAATGGTCTCAACATTATGGCATATAGGCTCCTTCCTGGGAGGACAGGATCTGACTTGGTTTCTATTTATGGGCACACAGGTTCCGGGGGACTTGGCAAGGCAAGGCTCTATGCTCTCCTGGCATGCTCTACCGGCCCCCAACTACCAAGTGTGGCTGGCAGGCCCCTCTGTCATCCTTCAGACTGCTCAGCCACATCACCTCTCCCCTATCTTCTACTTTGGGAGGTTTTGAGCTTTTGTGTCAGCAGTTAAATTCACTCAAAGTCCCTCCTCCACAATTTCTGACATGTTTCTCCATGGCTACGGAACGTTACTAGAATAAAGGGTGAGGCAGAGTTCAGAGCCAGGTGGCGGTCCTGATCCTGCTCTCCTAGGTCCACTCTGCTGTCTACCCTGATCCGAGAGGCTGGCCACCTGCTGCGCGTCACCCTCACGCCGAGCAAGGTCTTCCCCAGCCCATCCTCACGGGGACTCAGCTGACTGCTTTAGCTTTGTGACGCAGACAACTACTGCAACTTCATGAAATGAGGCTGTGTCCCCGTTTTTCCCCTCAGCAGCAGTCAGGAACCCCACCGGCCTGTGGAAGCGGCCCAGGTCTGGAGGATCAGTCCTCACCGGGCCATGGGTAGTGGAGTCTTACCTCAAACTGGATCAGGACCGTCCCACTCTCGAGAACCTTCTTGAGCTGTTCCATGGATCCCTCTAACGTGTCCCCACCCTCCGGACACATGGGGAAAATGGTGTCCGGGAAAAGCTGGTTCAGTTCATCCTCAGATTTGACATCGGCAAGCGAGTGGACAACTGCAACGTACAAGACACAGTGCGTCTGGCTTGTGGAACAACACACCGACTTATCAGTCTCCCTCAGAGAATCACACAACACACCTGAATAGAGATGGTTTCAAACATCTCACTAAATGATTTAGCAAACACTAAGCCTTTCCACCAAAGACACTACTTCTCACTGAATGATTCAATATGTGTTAGTTATAAAAAATGACATACTAATCTTTCTGGTTTAAGTAACAGTGTTTCATACTTGAGGCTTTTGTCAAAGATAAAAGAACAGGAAAGAACATGCTTAAAGAAAATCTGTTTTCTCCTTCATGCTCTCTGATCTGGCTTTTCTTCTGCCCATCCCCCCACTTCTTCCTACTTGGGATCCTTTTCATTTGTTCCCTTAAAATGGGCACTTTCCAAGGCCTCAGTGTGAGTGAGGTCTAGCGGTCTCTCTGGGACATTTCCTAATCCTGAGAGTCCAATTTCTACTCAAGGTCATTTCCATGTGGAGGCTCCAAACAGACATCTCAGGCTCTGAGCTAAGGCCTGACCTCTTTAGTAAAAATTCTCCCTTCACATCAAACTCAATGCGGGTAGAAACCAATCTGAGACTTCCTCCTCCTCTACCCTCCACAATACTTCCCCAAGCTCTACCGTCCCTTCCTTCTCCAACCTCCCAAATTGGAAACTTTGGAATTATCTCTGGATTTTCTCTTTCTACTCAGAAAGAGAATCACTCTTTCACTCAAACGCCTTCCATGGCTCCCTACTGCCTCCAAGGTAAGAGGAAAGAAGAAGGAAACCACCAACTGTTGCATTTCTCCGCCTCGTTGAGTTGAATTCTCCTGATAATGCTGAATCACCTGTCATTACCTTCACAGATGACAACAGTGCCTCAGGGAAGAACCTGGGACACCCTGGGCTGGCCCACTCTGCTCACTGCCTTCCCAGCAAAATCCGATGCACATGAATAAAACAGAACCTGCTCCTCCAGAAGGGGCTGAAACTGCCAATGTCTGAGGGCCTGGAGGCTCAGAAAGGGGTACAACATGGGGCAAGTTGGGTCTGGGAGGAAGTGGCGGGCTCATGCTCTGTTTAAGGGAGAGGTAGGTGCTGCCAAGCTCCAAGGGGTCACAAGGGGCCTGTTGTCATCCTGGCAGATATTCTAACTTTTCAAGTGAGTAGCCAGACATCTGATGGTTCTGTGGAAATTCTTGATTTTCAGTGTTGGCTACAAATTCAATACATTCAAAAATAAGGTGTGAGCCAAAGAGTTTGCTTTGCTCAGCCAGTGACCTGTGCCCCCTCCCCCCCGGTCCATGCTGGTGGCTCTTACCTTTCCTTCTGATCACCAGGGCCAGCTCCCTCGTGTGGGACTCCCGGCTGGCTTTGATGAACATCACCACTTGGTCGTGGGTGTGTTCTGAGATGTCTCGGCCATTGATGAGCACGATTTGGTCCCCTTCGATCAGCTTAGGGATGCAGGTGTCCGCCTGTGGGGAAGGCAAGGGGAGTTTCTTAGGTTTCCATGACATGCTCCTAAGGGGAAGCAGCTGCCACGCCCAGATCCCAGACACCCGAGACTGAGCTCGTTCCTTTTCTCCCTCAGGTATTACTGGCATTATTTTTATATCCACTGCTATGCTGACATGGTAGCTGGCTGCAGGACTTTGAAGGCAATGCTGCTTGGAATATAAATCTTGAAGCATTTCAAAATAAGGCTAAGAACACTGCCACAGCCATTTCTCTACGGCAGCCAACCTTCACTGACTGCAATAAGGATGATCGTGTTCCCCATCTTTTGTTTTATAGAGGTACAGTTAGAAAATGATTTGCCAGTTAGAAGTAAGTCTTTATCCACCTTGTAAAGGAGCAAGGCTTTGTAAGCATGCCATCAAAGGCAGAGCCCGTTACGGAGAGAAGCGATGAGCTGAGCAGTAAGCGTCAAAAGCCCACTTAATTCACAGAGGCCACAGATGGTAATAAAAATAAACTACACGCTTAAAAGCTACTCAAGAGTGAAACCCTAAAACTGGTACCCTCTCAGGTGGCACCCACTTGCTCTGCCGGCAAGTTGACTGTGATGCATAGCAACCCTCTAAGACAGAGAACTGCCCTATAGGGGTTCCAAGGCTGTAATCTTTATGGAATCAGACTGCCACATCTTTCTCTTGCAGAGCACTGGTGAATTTGAACCACAGACCTTCAAGTTAGCAGCTAAGCACTTAAGCACTGTGCCACCAAGGATCCATCTTCAAAATAATAAAAAAAAAAACCCACCAAACTCACTGCTGTTGAGCTGAACCGACTCAAAGCAACCCTTCCTTGGGTTCCATCTTTGAGGCACTAAAAACTAAAAAAACTGAACCCACTGCCGTCGAGTCAAATTCAACTCATAGTGACCCCTCCTTGGGTTTCCGAGGCAGTATCTCCTTCCAGGGAGTGACTGGTGGGTTTGGACTGCCAGCCTTCTGGTTAATAGTCAAATGCCTTAGGCGTTGCGCCACCAGAGCTCCTTTAGAAGGCACAATGACTCTTTAAAGCTCCAACGCTTTATAAACATGAATGATCTCCTTGGGAAACTGGAATAGAGGGTGGAGGGTGGAGGAGGTGGGCCGCTGGAGAGAGGGCACAGGGTCCACATTCTACTCAAAACAGGCCCAAAAGAGCCAACTCCCTGCCCCGACTTTCTTCTCTGGAGCAGTGCTCCACAAACTTCACAGTGCACGCCAATCACCAGGGGCCTTGTTGAAAGGCAGAGGCAGCTCTGGGCTGGGCCCAGGCTCTGTGTTTCTCACAAGCATCCAGGTGAGGCTGTGGCTGCTGCTCCGTGGACCACCCTGAGCACCGGCCAGGGTCTAGACGCGTGGCTTCCACACTTCCTTCCATCTAGATGCACGTCCTTACACACATTCTCTGCCACTGGCAGAAAAGAAACAAGCCACCGAAGTGGAGAGGTGCTGGGGTTAGGGGATAACACAGAACGGGCAATGACACTCAACGTGCTCACTTACAGGTGACTCTGGGTTTATCCGCGATACCACAAGGGGCATCTTCTGATCCACTCCTCCCTGTGAACATCATAAATTAAAACACCACCTTAGTTTCTAGCAACCGAGAAGCACAGATGCCAATCAGTGAGTCCTCTCCCAGCACACAGGAGGCCTCACACTTCCCATGGACTAGTTCTCATCACAGGGTCGGCACCTTTCAGAATCGGGTACAAAATTCCCGACTCCTCGGGTCCAGTGGCTAAACCAGGAGAATCTGCTCCAAAGCCTCCCACCACCACCTCTCTACTCCTGGAACTAGAGGTGCTCAGACAGGGGAATTTCTTCTTTTAAAATACCTGTCCCCTCCCCCAAGAAAGGGCCCTCCATGGCACATCTTTCAAGTTCTGCTAGAAAGGAGTTTTCAGTGGAGGAGAGGTACTGAGGGGAAGTCACAGGTTGTGACAGCTTTGGACACCTGAGGGCAGAGCTAGCTGGGCTGCTGGGGTCTCTGAAGCTGTGAACAATGGCAGCCAGGGCTTGGGCAGCACAGACCACCAAGCCTTGAGCAGGGGTCAGTATGCCTTTTCTGTAAAGGGCCAGACAGTATTTGTTGCCGGACAGAGGTCTCCTGCAACCACACATCTCAGCCCCTATGGTACAAAAGCACCATGAACAATCCGTAAATGAACAGGTGTGGCCGTGTTTCAAGAACACTTTACCGTATTTACAAAAACAGGTGGGAACCTAATCCTAGAGGCACACAGAGGAAGGTGGTGACTTGACCAGTTGTTCTCTTATCAGCGTTAGCAATGCTGACAGGTTCTCAAGTCTGTTTTATTATAACAATCCCTCTTCAGGGGGAAGATCTACTTGCAAACTGTGTGCCTACTCTCTCCAAACCTCAGTATTCGTCTATAAAATGGGTTTAAAAACCAGACTTCACCGCCGATTAGAAGGGTCAATAAGGTGCTATAAATCACATGTCTAGCCAATGCCAGGCACCGCGCAGACACTCAGGATGCGGCACTTAACGAACTCTCAATTCTGAGGGCTGAGCTGATGTCCTTACACAGCTTCAGGGCTGCGGCGCACTTCTGGTGGGGACAAAAAGTTCATCTACAGATTGCCTCGCAGCATAAAGATTTCTTATAAAGACACACAGTACCTTAAGATTAAAGCCAAATTTCCCGTCCTCATCTGGCGTGATACGGATCAAGAGTAAGCAGCTGTCCTCGTCATCAGTCTGGAAAATACTGGAAAGTGGTCTCTCCAGCTGTTGACAATAAAAGTTTTTTCTGTTAGTTAGAAGGACTCCAATGCCCACGAGGTGCCCTGGCACAGGGAGCTTGTCGAGTCACCGGTCCACTCACTCACCTTGTCACAGTAGTACTGGCTGGAGTCCTCAGTGGAGCTCCCTTTAGTCACCCTGTGGTACTCCTCTAAGAAGTGCTGGTCTACGCCGTCTGGTGAGCAGGAGCCTGGAGCATTTGAAGATGGAGACACAGAACTGGATGACTTCTGGGTCAGGCAGCCTTGTGCTGGATTGTTCTCGGACACACTCCTTCGTCATGGGGAAGGAGGAGATGTTTTAATGACTGGTTTACTGTTCCATCAGCACAAACATTACTGACTGCTGGGGCCTGGTGTCTCAGTGCGCCCCAGTATCCCTCCAACGTTACAGCACCCCAAAGATTAACTGTGGGGCTCTGACACACCACTGGCCGTCCTTCCCCTCTCCTGGCCTCAATGTTGTCACCTTGGGTTTGGGGGAAAAAGAGGAAAAAGGGCAGGGACAGCCAAAAACTCAGCTCCCTTCCCTGCCGCTTCAGAGCAGTGGCGGGAGGATGTTCCAGCTACAAAGGTTTAACTACGGAACTGGGTCTGCCAGGCAAGCTCAGTCAGATGCACTTGTCTCTCTTTCTCCTGGAAGCTTTCTTCTTCTCTGTCATTCCTGCCGGTAACTATATGCTTCACAGGACTCTTGGCTACCCAAAGGAAATGGGACTACTGCGTATGATCACAACAATCTACATTATTCCTGGTCTGTATCTGCCTGCAGTGTCCGTTCGTTGCCCACACGGAGATGTTTTCTTTTTCTCCATCTCACACATCAACCAGTTGCTGTCAAGTCAATTCCAGCTCATGGCAACTCCACACATCAGAGAGAACAGGGCTCTAACTGGGTTTTTAGTGCTCGACATTTGGAAGAACTACTCCAGGTCTATCTTCCAAGGCACCTCTGGGTAGTCTTAAATCCCCAATCCTTTGGTTAGTAGTCAAGGGTGCTTACTGTTCATACCACCAGGAACTTACCATTTCATATATACCAAAAAGAAAAAAGAAAAAAAAAACAAACTCTAATCAACTACCATTGAGTTGGTCCTGACTCACAGCAACCCCCACTGGGCTTCTGAGGCAGTAAATCTTTACAGAAGTAGATTGCCCAGTCTTCCTTCCGAGGAGTGGCTGGTGGGTTTGAACCGCCAGCCTTCTGGTCAGCAGTCAGAGATGCCTTAGGCACTGTGCCACCAGAGTTCTTTCCTCTCACTTAGGTCCTTCTGCATCTTAGCGCTGTATAGTCCAGTAGGGGAGCTCCTAGTCCCACATGGCTGTTTAAATTTAAACAGATCACCATTAAGAAGTCAGTTCCTCAGCTGTATCAACCACATTTCAAATGCTCCATTGCCACACGTGGCTAATGGCTGCTGTACCAGACAGGGCAGAGAGGACGTCCTCGTCAGTACAGAGTTCTACTGGACAGTGCTATATTAGAGACTCACACGCTACTAGAATTTCTCAAACCTCTGTCATCAGTTCACAGAGGAAGACACTGAGGTTGAGAGAGGCCATGGGCTTGCTCAGGCTCACACAGATTTCCCTGCATTCAGTGGGCGGACCCAGGCCACCCTAGTCGGCTCCGGAGACTGCCTCTAACCTCACAGGGCCACAGGTGTTAGCCGTCTCAACCATCACTGTTCAGGAAGCTCAACTTTTCTGCATCACACACCCCAACACTAGACCCCTTCAGAGCCACAGGCCTAGAAAAAGACATCTTAAAAAGCCTACATACATGGGGTTCTCCCTACTGTGCGGACTGCCACATTCTAACCTCAGACGAGGCTCAGGGATGGGAGAGGTGAGTGGACCAAGGCCAGTGAAACAGAAACAGAAGACGGCTACTACCCCCTCTTAACCAGCCGCTGCGCGCTCGACACAGCTATCCCACGTGTGTCAGTGCACGCGTGGCCCTGTGCCCCAGAGGGCTTCCTGGGGCTGGGTTTCCAGAAGCAGATCACCAGGGCCCTCTTTCCAGGTGGTTCCAGGCAGACCTGAAGCTCCAGCGTTTTGGTTGGTAGCCCAGTACCCAACCGTTTACACCACCCAGGGACACCCACCACCTCTGACTCAAGCTTTATTTCAAAGCCTGTATCCAGGGCTTTTTCAATACCATAGTGCTTCCTTTTCCTTCGAAGTTCAAATTAGGCTTCTTTAAATATAAGAGCTGCATCACATTCATGCAGAAAGAGTCACTATCTCCATTTATTTGTATAAAAAAACTCAGCGGTCAACAAGTATAAGAACATAACCGTGTGCAAGAGAAGCGTTTGGGTTTAAGGTTCTAAAGCTGCTAGGGATACACAGTCCAATATGAAGACAGGGGCTACGGATGCGAAGGCGTCTCATGACAGAATATTCTGGAACTCGAGTTGAGTACTAATGGAAATTTTCTGACTAAAAATGAACGAGACTTTAATTTACTTGAAAGAACACACACACACAAAAAAAGTCTCCCCAAGTAGGGCAATCTTTCAAGGTTTACTGTTTACGGGAGCACCACCTAGTGGCAGAAAGAGACCAGAACCTTAAATCTGAAGAAGTAAACAGCACCTACACAGATCAAACATTTGGAAGAATGTGAAGGGATCAGTGATGGAAAGGGGGAATGGCAAATAAACAAAAAGCAGACAAGCAAAGTAACAAAGCAGACGAGAACAGATTAATTTCAATACAATTGTAACATTTTAAAAAGTGTATTTTTAGATTAAGTTTATTTAATTAAAAAACAGAACAAAAAAAATCATGCATGGCTATCTTGAATTTGTGGATTTCATCATACGGGGTTTCAAAATATTTTTTTTTTGTCAGTAGAAAACTTAATAGTCTATCAAAGACAGCCCACAGTACTAAATACAATATATGCTAGGCCATCATATGACCAAACGTATTTTCTAAGTAAGGATAAAAAGGTTACTTTTAGACAGTAATTTACTTAAACAAATGGTGATTTTTGGTGGCTGATCAACTGTAGAATGCAGGAACTTTCTGCTCAGTGTAGAGGATGGACAGACAGATGGTGAGGAGGACATCAAATAACAAGAAGGAATGAGAAGGCACCAAAGACTTCTCACCTCTCAAGGGCTACTGCAGTGACCTGTGCCAGACATGATGGTGGCTAAACAGGGGCAGTGCAGGCAGGAGGGTGGAAGGGTCAAGTTCAAGAGGGGCTTAGGAGATGGAATTAACAAGCTGACACAGCAGATGAGGCAGGTCAAAGAGGAGGAGGAGTCAGGGATGACTGGAGTTTCCCATAGGTACAAAGTGGGTAGGAGTCAAATGATGGTCCCACTCACTGAGATGCAGGAGGAGCCACAGGTTGGACACGAAGGGAGATGATGAGTTGAAACTGGGCTGAGCTGGATTTAAGGTATTTGTCTCGCCCACATGCAAGTGGGCCAAAACCAAGTGGAAAGAGGGGCAAGTTTCAGAGACACAAAACACAAAAACTCTTCAGGAAGTTTTGTCCCTGGCTGCTGTCCTCTGAGGGAGATTGCCCAGAGGGTATACAAATCCTCTCCCCACAATCAACTTGGGGTGCCAACCTCTAATAAAGGACTGAAGTACATTCAGAGGATGTTGAGTAAGTAGGTGAAAAGAGGAGAATGGCTGAAGGAACTGGAACTTGTTTAATTTAAACAAGCCAAACTTGTCAGGGAGAACTGGAAGCATTGTATCTGTGTTGTACAACCAACTTGAAGCAGGGATCTCTGGAAGGTGATGTTCCTGCTGGCTCAGTATCCAAAGGAGATGCTCAGCACAGACACGGAAGAGCATCAGAGAACGCGGCTGTCTAACAAGTGAATGGGCCGCCATATTGGAAGGGAGCCCTCTGTCACCGGTCAGGTTCCTAGGCCCTGGATGCTCAGATGAGAGGGTTGACAGAATCCCTTTACTGTCAAAGTTCTTAAAAAGGGGGCCCCCAAAGGCCCCTTACAATGAGCAAAGTAGTTCTGAAATATGTCACAGCTGCCCCAGATCTCATGGAACAAGACAGAGTCTATATTAAGAGGCAAACAAATTAACAACAAAGGAGTTGGATGACTTAAAGTCCTACTCACTCTGAGGTGATCCATCAAAACAGCTTTGAAAATATAACAGCAAAAAATGACTTTCAAATCCAATCCTAATCTGTCCTAAAATTTGTTTCCTCCAGTTTCTGCTCTGCCAAAGAACATGTTTTTTCTTTAAATGACTCTCCTCCCCTTTTTCCTGGGCTGGGGAAGGTGAGCTTGTTTTGCAAATGAAGGGAACCATTTCTCTGCAGAATTTGGTCTTTCCTCTGAAGGAAGGAAAAGGGCAGAAAATGGGTGACAGGACCCAGGGATGACAAGAGTACAGCCTCCTTGGGGCACAGAGCAAACTGCCAGGGACTCGCAACAGTCATCATAAACTCCGTGCTGCTATAAATATGGAAAGAGCTGGCGAGTGACTCACCCACTACGATCCTATTCAGAAAGCCTGAGCCGTGCCACTTTGGGTTTAGAAGCAGAGCTTAAGTGCGTTGGTTCTTTCTTGCTTCTTTTTCAAATGGGTACAGAACATGACACTTAATTCTTCCTAAAAGGAACCCTCCTCGCTGTCTGTGATATTATTCATCTGATTTCTCTGACATAATACGTGTTTTTTTTTTTCTTTTTGCCTCTTCACACAAATCTGCTGTATAAAACATGTCAAACGTTTCTTAAACATTTCGCAACTACGCACTGAAGTACCCAAAACAGTTTTTCCCACCAAGTAAGACCACCCTTTCCTTTTGGCCTTGGGCAATGGAGGGTCCCCAGGCTCTCAGGAAGGCCAGCTGCCTCTGCAGACCCACCACGAGGCGGCCTCTCTGCCGGCAGGAAGAGGGCCCCTACCGAACTGAAGTGGCAGGGATGCCAATTTTCCAACAGTTCACCACTTGCAAAGCACAGCTGCGTGTTCCTCCTGACTCCATGCCGGGAGGTGTCTACTGTCAGGGCACCTGGCAAAGCCGTGACAAGGAAGGCTGCCGTGGAATCACCACTGTCTGTTACTTTTAACAGTTAGCTGGAAAGGAGAAAGCGCTCCCGGGTGACACTTCTTATAAGGTCTCTCAGAGGAGTTTGAAAAAGAATCAACATGTAACGTAGAGGGCTGAGTGGGGCCAGAAATTACTTAACCTGAGCCTGAGGAAGTCAATTTTAAATTTTACTTCATGTAACGGATTGAAACCTCAGCAGCCACACATGACTAGAAGCTCCTGTGTTGGACGGCTCTACGGTTCCATGCTGTGACTGCCAACCACAGTAAGAACACCTGATCAGGAGACATGCAACTGGGCTTCTCAGTGCCTGCGGTTCCCTCGCCTCTCTTCTTCCATAAAGTGACAGAGCCCCACATTGTGAGTGCAATTATAAGGGCTGTGACTGTGCTATTCACCCAGCTGACCCGGCAGCTCTCGGGAGGTAAACTAGTCCACTTCAGCGTGTCCCTCGGCGACCAGCAAAGGGTGTGCAGAGTGCACTGCTGGGCGCAGGAGTGAACGCATTCCTTTAAGATGCCCATGACACCAGCTGCCTTCAGGTCGACTCTGACACGTGGCGACCGCGTGTGTCAGAGCAGAGCCCTGCTCCACAGGCTTTTAACGGCCGATTTCTCAGAAGCATATTCCCGGGCCTTTCTTCGGAGGAGTTACTGGGTGGGCTTGAACCTCCAGCCTTTAGGTTGGTGGCCAAGTGCTTCACTGTTGGCACCCCTTGGGGACTCCCAGAGGTCCACGCGTCACAGGGAAGAACTCATCTCTCCTCCACCCTACACTGACTATGTAATGGGAGATCCCGGGATGCTGGGCCTCACTCGTGGCTCTCAGAGGCCAGCCATCCTCAGAGCAGCAGCAAGATTGGGGGCTTAATGCCCACACTGCAAGCCAGCAGATATCCCAAGCCCACTCACACTCGATTTCCACTGGAGAAATGCGCTTTAACTTGGAGATATTCCAGTCCAGGTAAGGGCTGTCCACACCTTCCTGCAACGAGGGCAACATTCTGTGTCTGTGTTCACCAGTATGGTAGCCACTGGCCCCATGGGACCACTGAGCACTGGAGAGGTGGCCAGTGTTACTGATGAACTGAATTCTTAATTTTTTTATTAAGTTTCAATGGCCACTTGTTGTGGTTAGTGGCGACCTTGCTGGACAGTGAAGGCCTAGAAACTCCACAGTTCTGTGATGTGACTGCAGACCGTGCTGAGAAGAGCTGACACAGGAGACGTGTGACTGGTCTCAGAGCCCCCAGTCAGTCCGCTGAAATCCTCTTCTCCTTTCCCCAATGCCACAGCCCCCTCTGCAGAATCCAAATGGCTCTCATCATGCCCTCCTGCCTTGAATTTCTACACCTGCTCGTGGTTTCCAAAGCCTCAGTGTCTCAGAAAGGAACTCATATCCTCCACTGTACCCTCAGCTGGGCAGTAGGCTGCAAGCTGGAGCGAGAGAGAGCATCATCCAAGCTCAGGCGGTCAAGAGGAACTAACGAGCAGAGGGATTACTGAACCAGAGGTGTTAAGAACACAGATAAGCTGGAAACCATGTTTGCTGTGCTCGGGGACAGAGCAGAGGCAATGACCTCACACATTAAGAGGGAAGTGAGATTTGCAATTCCCCAGTAAATGCTCAGGGATGCTCAGGACGCACTTGATGCTTTAAGCCTTGCAGCCGGATTGACGGGCATTCCAGGTTAGGTAGAGAGCCTTCCTGCTAATCTTCTGCTGTTAGGGAGGCATTATGTCTCTGTATTTTAGGCCAAGGATGGGACTTCACAGAACAGGTACACAATGAATATAGCTGCCTTCCTACAGTTTTATCCTTTCCTATCAGACTTTGGCTTATAATGTCATTATATTTATTTATGAACTATGATTTGTCTAGTTCCAATTATGATTTGAGATAGCTTATCCTAAAAGGTATGGATATGAGAGGATTGTGAATTCAGTAAAACAAGAGAAAAGAGTTCAGACTCATATAAAGGTAATGAAGGAAGAGAAGGGGCTGTGTCCCAAACCTGGGCTAGGGGAAGCTAATGTGGGTGAGTGCGACATGGAGCTCTGAGCTCCCTGATAATCAAGGTAAAAAGAGACCTAGTGGATCACATGTACCTCACTGAATAATAAAAAGCACTCAAGCCAGCATGTTAGGAGTGATGTTTTTTCACTGGCCTTCAGATGTGAGGAAAGCAGTCATATTGAAAAAAGAGGAGTGGGGACAGAACAGAGTGTCAACTGTCCTTGACAAGTTATTTTTTTTACAAAGAAAACCAGAGATGTTCTACCTATGCTTTCTCTTCATAACAAACAAACAAACAAACAAACAAACAAAACCCCAAACTCACTGCCGTCAAGTCGGATCCAACTCACAGTGACCCCTCCTTGGGTTTCCAAGGCTATATCGCTATGGAAGCACATTGCCCAACCTTCCTTCTGAGGAGTGGCTGGGGGGTTGAACTGCCAGCCTTCTGGTTAGCAGTCAGATGCCTTAGGCACTATGCCACCAAAGTTCTAACCATTAATTAAAAAAAAGCCCTGAGAGAGGGGTTGGCCTAGAGAGATGAGCACATGTCCAGAGATCTGAAACCACGTAGAGGTAAAACCTGAAGAATACAGAAAAATCAAAGAGTCAGTGTGGCCCCAGAGTCTAGCCCTCAGGAGTACTAAATGACAAACTGGGCTTTGCTCATGAACTGGAGAGGAGACCACTCAAGACTGTTAAGAAGACGTTGACAAATACAAGGTCTTTCTGTAGACAGAGAGAAGGGTAAACTCTGGACACAGGCACACAGGCCGTCTTCGTGTGGGGACGGTGGAGAGCCTGTCTGTGTTCTGATCCTGGCACAGAGCCCTGGCCCACCTCCTCTCAGAGGGCGATCTGGGCCTATACAGAGTCCTCACCAGCCCAAACAAGCAGCTACAAAGAAAGAAAGAAACACCAGCTTCTTACTCTTGACGCGGGCTTCGGTTCTGAGAAACCTCGGAATCGCTGTCTTTGGGGGACAGAGAGCCCTTGTATGTATAAAACACGTCTTCAGTCTCTGTTATGTACGTCATTTCATTCGCAAGGTTGTCTGCAGAGGAGTGCCGTGGCTTTCGGATTTCATGCCGGAGTCGAGGACTTCGCCTGGGTGGGGGAAAGGGTGAACGTAACTTGTTAAAAGCAAATTCCATTTAAAATGTTTCAGTCATCAGAGATCTAACTTCCTGCCCTGAATGCTGTGGGAATAACCTGACTGCTAATCTTAGAAATCAAGAGCCAGTTAACCTGTTACTACACCAAATGGCAGAACTCGGTAAGGGTGACACACATGCCACTACTATCAGCCTGGTGGTGTGGCCCCAGAACAGAAGTCTCAGCTTTAGAGTCAGGCAGGATCTCATTGGCCTAGGCTCTTTGGGAGCTGATGTGTGCTGATTTAGAGTGAGTAGTGCCTAAGGTACTTGACTGCTATCACGAGTCTGGCAGTTCAAACCCACCAGCCACTCCTCGGAAGGAAGGTTGGGCAATCTACTTCCGCAGTGATGCTGCATCGGAAACCCAAGGAGGGATCACTATGAGTTGGATCCGACTCAATGGCACATAACAACAACAATTCTTTCAGGAAGACTCAAGCTCTCAAGATACAGTTAGGCCACACTAACTGCTGATCAGACAGTTGTTCTGATTCACTCTAACAGTATAGATAAAGGGTTTAAGTGCCAAAGTATGCTTCTTGGCAAAACGCAATCCTTAATGCAATCACATCGCTTCATGTGAATTTCATGTGCATCAATTTAAAAAGTTTGCTCTCTCGTAAACATACCCCTAAAATGTGCTCCAGCTGTGAGTACAGCGCAGGTCCTGTCAGGGCCTCAGCTGTATCCACCTGTTCCTGAGAGTTAATCAAACCAAGTACCAGTCTCAGGACCTCTGGTTAGCACCTGGGTGGTGGCTCCTCCTGTAGGCGAACTGGGCTGCTGAGCTTTCCAAGTTCTACTTTTCATCAAGTTTTTCTGTCCTCCCCCGTTAGCCATTTTTCCTTGGGAGGGTCAGAGTTCAGAGTCTCTGTTATTCGCAACCTCCCTGGACCTGGTTAATCGATAAAGGCTCTTGTGGCTTCCAGAGAGGACCAACAAGAGCGCCCCAGGCCCTTCTGGTTCCTGTCCTGAGCCTAGGTTATAGGTTCCTCCCATTGCTGCTTAAGATACTTCCAGATAAACCGAGCTGCTACATTGCAGCAGACATTTACCTCCTAAGGCCAAAGTGCCTAAATCTTGGGAACCAAGAAACAAAGCTATTAGTCTTGTCATGATTTTTATCGTTATACATACCATCATCCTCCCCAACAGGAGCATCTGGCCCCCAGTGAACGGTCCTGACCCAGTGACCCTGAGCTGCTCCCCCTTCTCACCTCCCTCTTACAGCTTCCCTCAGTCATAGTGGGCACTGCCTGGGAAGCTGCAGGCCACCATGTCCGCAGCACAGTGCCCAGAAAGCCATCTCTCTCTGCAGCCTAGAGCTGGGGCAATGTTTCCTGCTTGGTTTCCCCTCGCCTCAAGGCCTGGCCTTTTTGGAGGCATTCCCAGACATGCCCTGTTGTCTTTGGGGAGCAGGATAGTAAAATAATCACCATCATAATTCTACCGATGCTTTTGTATAAGCTTATAAAACACTTGCACATTATTATTTGTGGTGATTCACATAATCCTTTTATGGATGGGGAAACCAAGCCCAGGGTGGTAAAGAAACTTGTTAGTCAACACAAGAGCCAAAATGTGAATCTGAGTGTTCCAGCGACAACCTAGTGCCCTTCTTCCTTTGGGGAATTGCCATCTCCTTCCTTTCAGCTGGGCCCATGCACTTAACAGCCAGCAGGTGGCCGCCCTATGTGCATTTGCTACTGCTGCTGAGGGTCACACGTCTTTCCATCAATTATATCGTGCACCTTGATAGCCTTTCTAAAAGCGTATTTTGTAAGATGTCAATGGGAACATGAAATTAAATAAAGCTGAATATGCTTCTTTATCATGGGACTTCTCAGAGCCTTTAGTATGGTAATCTGCACTGTCATTCCAAGAGGCCTATTTCATCATGCTGCAGTTCCCAGTGCCCTTAGATCAAATGACTTTTTACAAAGACTGTCAAAGCATGATCACACTGTGGATTAGCTTCAGCTAGACTTGCAAACAGTTCCTTCTACAAGAGCCAAAAATGTAAATGTAAACCCAGACTTCTGACCACCTATATGTAGGAATGTATGAAGTTGTTTTTATTTTTGAAAAGAGATAAAGAGTTTTCTAGTGAGTAGTATGAAAAGTGGAGGACATACCAGTTGGGAGTAATAGGAGGGGACCGAGAAGGTAGACTCTTGGTTTCTAGATGTTCCACCGATAAGGATCTCCACATGGCTGGGTTCCACACCATCCCTCCAATCACCTTTTTGCAATACTGGTTATTTACAGACCTGAAAAACCAGACACAGGTTCACTTTCAACACTGACATTTTCAAGAAGAAAGAAATTGTGGCATGTGTGAAGCAGAGTCCATGCACACTCCTTCCATGACCAACACTTGGTTAAGCCCTTGGTGACATCAACCAAGGTTAAAAGGAGGAAAGATATACAAGTCAACAGTGATACCTTCCTGTCCTAGTTTTTATTTATGATATTTCTTCTCTTCTGGTGCAAATGCCTTCTTGACCTCACTACTGCAAGCAATCAAACCTCACTGGATTAGAAGGGTTTTCAGAATAACATAAAATACAGTTCCAGCAACTGCAGACAAATCTCACTTTGCTCTGGCATGAGTAAAACATCAGCTATTTTTTGAGGAGTCCTCTGTCATCCTAGCTGGCAGATGCTGTCACTGCAAATCAACGAGAGCTCTCCAAGCGAGGACCTGAGAATGTGTTTAGATAGTCCAGCTTCAGGCCACATTCTGCGAATGTGCTACCTGGGAGGCTACTTCTGAATTTTATTTATGTCTAGAGGGTTCAAATCTCAGCCAGCTAGAAAACTCAAGAGAATAAATTACTTCAGAGAATGGCATTTGAAGCCAGCGA